ACAACACCGAGGGTGTCGATCCCGTTGCCGGTCCCCGGTACAGGAGCGACACCGAGGGTTGCGATCCTGTTACCGGTCAGTAAAAAAAAGACAAAAAGGAAAAAAAAAAAAAAAAAAAAAAGAAGAAGCCAGACACAAAAGGCCACATTATGTGATTCTATTTGTATGAGTCTCCAGAACAGGTATATCCACAGAGACAGAAAGTAGATTAGTGGCTGCCAAGGGCTGGGGGAGGGGTCTGGAGAGTGACTACTAATGGGGATGGGGTTTCCTTTTGGGAGGATGGAAATGTTCTGAAACTAGAGGTGGTGGTGCACAACACTGTGAATGTACTAAATGCCACTGAATTGTACACTTTAAAGTGGTTCATTTTATGCTATGTGAATCTCCCCCCAACAACAAAAAAAGGAAGGCGAGAGAAAACATGGAGATACATATGCACGCACACATATGGTATCAGAAGAACACGAACTTCTAGGATTTGGACACTCACGAATTTTGGTGGCGGCATGTTCAGATTCAGACTGCTCAAGGTAACATCATGGCCACTCTGGGCACAGGCCACCAGTCTCAGTGCAACATAGAAACCCTGCAAATCCAGAAAAGGGGAGGCATCAACACCACAAGGCCAGTAATGGCATGGGGAGGGCTGTCCCCAAGAGCAGGCTTTGGGGAAAAAGAGATTTCACTTCAATAGTGAAGACTGTCTGTGCAAAAGCCACTTAGAGTGCTGGGCTGAACTGGACTTGCCCTGGGGACGTTGTTTAAATTAATATGCTAAAGCCAACCTGCCATATTGCATTTGGAATACTGTAAAATTTCACATAAATGTATGTTTCAATAATAACGAACTCCCAACATTTAGGAAATGCTGGACTGTTTAAAGTAGCAGAGTTAACATGTTCAAGACAACAAATAACGGATCAAACATGTGCTGAATTTTTTAAAAGCAGTTTAAAATAGTGGTTTGGGAATTAGCATTCACAATTCACTGTGACCCCCCCTTGATCTCACTGAACCAAGCATCCCCACTTGCGCCCCCCCATCATGCCCCACTTCCCGTTGTGACCTGACGTGGACCTTCCACAGAGGGACAATGAACCTGAACTAGGCCATCAGTGCCCTGACTCTTCCCCACCCACCTCCTGACCCAGAACTGGCCACACCACAGGCTCAGAGGACTCTGGAGGCATCACCTAATTTTTTAAAAAATTGATCAACTGGCCTAAGAACATGGCCTGTGTAAAGCTATAAACACGGTACTGGTTTAAAGTTTTCTTCAGAAAGAGAAGCACTAGATCAGCCTTCCTCAGGCTGATGTCCACAGAAGCCCATGGAGAGCACAGAGCATCATACAGGGGTGCTGAGAAACAGGACGCAAGAAATTAGGGGAGCTGCGTCAGGCAAAGTTAACAGGTTTTTCTTCCACAAGAATTCCCAGACCATTAACATGAAGACGTGCATCACCAACCTCAACGAAGGGGGAATACAGCTGGTGGCGCCTGACGGACCAGATCACGAGCTCTGGCACTTTAGGGACAACGAACCTTCCTGTACCATTTGGGGAAAAGCTGAACTCACTTGATTTATATCTATGACCACTTAAAATCACTTGTAAGTACTACAAAATTCAATTTCTAGAACATTCTTAAAACAACATAATTATCATGATGAAGATAACAGGGTTAGGGTGTGACGATTAAAGAGAGTTTCAAGAGTTCTGTATCCGGATCACAGTGGTGGTTACATAAACCTATGCAAGGGATAAAATTTCATAGAGCTGTACACACTCCCCACACCCCCCAAAATGGGTGCATGTAAAACTGGTCAACTCTGATTAAGGCCTGTAGTTTAGTACTGCACTAATGTCCCTTTCTTGGTCTTGATTCCTGTGCTGTGGTTACGTGCGGTGCTATCAGTGGGGTAAACCTGGCCAAAGAGATACAGGAACCCTCCAAACTAATTTTGCAACTTCCACAAGAGTCTAAAAGTTCTGAAACAATTTAATCATGCATAAGGTCACGAAATATTAGAAGGTACACTAACCATGAAAGATGGCTCCGAGTGTTTAAAAGACCTGTATTTCAAAATGAAAACCGCCCATTTTAAGTTTGAGAGCTGAACTTTTGTCTAATAATGCTTGACAGCAGAGAAATGTGGAAGTGAGTGCAGAGGTCCCCCAGCCTGAGGGGGCTCTGCCCTGGCTCCCTCCCCTTGCTCTGTATAGGTATGTATATACCTGTTTGTCCAAGAACCCTTTACCTTCTGGGTCAGCCAAGTCCCATATCTGCAGAAACACAAAAATGTTCATTAGTATCATTGCTAATCATTGCCTGTGAATTCACAAAACTAGTAACCACCACCACCACCACCAGTGTCTGCTGTGGGTTTTGCAGACCAACAGTCTCACAAAGCAAAAGTGACCCTTCCCAGGCTGCAGATGAAGAGGCCAACTTGGAGTAGGTGAATGATCTGCCCATGGGCACATGGCCAGTGGGTGGCAGGGCCTAGAGAACCCCCAGGTCCACTCAGCTCAAAAGCCAGTGGTGTTTGTTACACTCTTACCCCCCAACATAAATCCACAGGCTATCAAGACCCCAAAAGCATTCAGGTGTCTTGTCTGCTACCCAATGAGCAGTGGTGGCTGCCACCCGAGCATGTGGATCCACCAGTTACAGTCTGAGAGGCACATGGTGATCGGGCCACCCCCAGGAGGCATGCCCTGCAGGGGTTCTGCACAGGTCAGCCTTCTCCTGCTGGGGGGAGCTGCAAGGATGGCCACAGAAGAGAAATCGCTACTCATCCTCACTCACCTTTCCAAGGATAACATCGGAGAGCCCAGACTTCTTCAGAAAAAGAGCGGCTTCACTCGCCCCAACTCTCCCTGTGTATGCGGGATCGACCTGAAACGGGAGGGAAGAGTCGACAGCCCTTTCAGCCACAGAGCAGCAGGCAGAGCAGCATCCCTCGCGCCCACTACTGGTCAACAACTTGGCCAGCAGAAAAGGACAAAAGGCCACTTCAGCTGGGCTTCAATTCAGTATTACACTTTCCAGTTCGACTGCTATCTAGTTCCGCCTAAAAAGACATCACTGATGCCTGTACCAAACAGCCACCAAAAAAGAGGGGGAGGCTTGCTGCTTAGCTCAGTGGGTTAGAGCATGGCGCTGATAACAGCAAAGTCCAGGGTTCTGTCCCTCTACTGGCCACCCACCAAAAAAATTAAATGAAATAAATAAAATAAAAAGACATCAGTTAAACTTACCTGCTTGTAATAAGATTCATATAATGGATTTCCAGTAGGAATCTGTAAACAAAACCATAGATATTGGTCAAAAGTGGACACACCCCTTTAGGGGGGAAAAAAAGTGTCCTTCCTCAATTTTGTCATTACCAAAATATAAAAGTCACAATGTCTGCGCTTCAAACATCCTCCAGATACGGAACTCGGTTTATTTTCACACACAGATATCACACTTACTCAATTTAGAAAATGTCAACACCAACATTCTTTAATACATCCTAATTATTATAACACCAAGGTCAAGATTTCAGATCCCCTTACCAGCCAGCTGCCAAAAAAAATAAATAAACCCTAATTCCAGTGCAAGCCATGTGGTCACTCAGGAAGCAGCAGCAGCCTAGAGTTGATTTCCATTCACTGAGCAATGGGATTTCGTCTCATTCATGGGTTCAGAGGGAAAAGACCCCTGGTTCTTTGAGATCGTTTTCTGGCTCCGGGATCAGAAGAAGCGTTTCTGCACACCATCATGAATCACCAGGCACGCAATCTTCTGACTTGTTTCCCTGCCCTAGGTTTCGTCCTCCCCTAGCTCCCTGAGTGGCCTCAGAAATGCATGCAGACTAGCCCCTCTGGGAAAGAGCCGGCCAGTGATCACTCCCACAATGGCAGGCAGGAAGGTCAAAGTCCTCAGCTCGGCACTGAAGACAGTCCATATTCTGGCCCCTCAGATCCCTGAGACATTGTCACTCGGAGAATGGGTCATGCCTGGGTACAGCCTGGCCAGCAGCCAAGTCCACTTCACACCGTGTCCCCCAGTGGGGAGGAAGGGGCATCCGGACAGAGTGTGCCAGCCAGTGAAGAATTAAGCAGCCACTAAGATGTTGGCTACGAAAGCTCACACACGTTGATGTTCTACTGAGTGAAAGAAAAGCAAGACACAAACCTGCCGTTGATTTACTAAGGGCTGACAAGTGAAGAGTGCAAAATGGTATTTAATTGTACAGAAGAACAGGCATGTGAGCAGCTAAAGAGAAAAGAGCCAGTGGGGGGGGCGGGGGGGGCCTACTGTCTGAGAGATGGGATCACGGTGTTTATTTAAATATTCCTTCAATGCTCTCATATGACTTGGTTTTTTAAAACCAGGGAGAGGTAGGATCCTCTCAGTCATGATTGCTGACTTTGAACCAATATGCACTCTAGTGGATTGAATTATGTCCCCCCCAAAACTCACTGAGGCTTGAATTGTCTGCCAAGTTTTATGTATTAGAAACTTAGCCCCACTGTGACTGTTAAAATGGTGGGAAATCCTATCATGGTAATTGAAAGGTGGAGCCTTGAAGAGGTGATTGGATTGTAGCACCATGCCTAGTGAGTGGATTAAAAATGGTGGTGAGGGGCATGGTTCATAGGGCTTTAAAAGGAGAGGAGAGTCTGTCTCTCTCTTTCTCACTCTCTCTGCTTCCACCATCTTGCAATGTGAGATCCCTGGGTCACTGTCACCACCACCAGATGGACTTTGGACTTCCCAGCCTCAGAAACTGTAAGCAATAAATTTCATTTTCTTATAAATTACCCAGTTCCATGTATTTTGTTACAAGCAACATATACGGACTAATACATGCACCCAACACTTTCAAACTGCTGTGCTATAAATGGTCATTTCAGGTTAAAAATAATGCCCCGATTACGGTCAGCTTCTCTGGGGGACGCCAACACCTGCAAACAATAAAACAAAAAAAATAAAAATAAAGAACTGAAAGTACAGAGAAAAATAGCAAGATAGAAGGGAAACAGCATGAAGATCTGAAAGGGGAGAGAGGAAAGTCAAAACAGAAAGAAAAAGGGGAAAGACTGAAAAGGCAGAAAAAACTAGACGGATGCAAGAAAGCAAGAAAAGCCAGAGACTAAGTGGCAGTCACTTAAGAAAAGACACAGGCATCAAGGAAGACAATCAGAAGGAGCACAAATGAGGCCTCCAAGCTCTTGTGATATCAGTGGGGAAAAAAGTCACAGTATTTGGGGCATACAGGGTTATCAACATTTGTCTCAAACTTCCCAAATTCTTATGAGCGACAAGATCCACAATCAAGAGAAACAAGCCCTGACTAGCCCAGGAAAGCCACTGAAGCAAACGACCCAAACCTCTGCCCTCTGACCATCTGTGCTAAGGGCTCGTCCATAGAAACAGCTCTGATGTTCGAGGGCTGAGCATTGATCCTAAACGACCTACAGCTGATGGAAAACTATGGCGTATGGCTCAGATATTCCTCTTTAGCTATGGGAACCAATTTCAGTAACCTGAGACGTCCACAGCAACTGGAGGTTTAAATTTGGGGTGGGGGAGGGGCAGCTGGCCGGTATGGTGATCCGAACCCTTGACCTTGGTGTCATAACGCTGCATTCTAACTGACTGAGCTAATCGGCCAGCCCCAAGGTTTTGATTTATCACACGTATGTCAGGTACTGCAAAAGCAGAAGGGGAAGAAGGAAGGGAAAACACCTGACTCTAATTGCAACTTCCTCATCACCCCACTGCTTCTTCCTGGGGACAGTGGAGTCACACCTGCAAGCTGCGCTAATATGTCATTGCAAAAGAGCTGAAGACACAAGCTTATAATGCCATGAATCCTTCAACCATGGGTGGTCTGTGTCGATGGCCTCTGCACAAGGACCTTGGTCACAACCAGCACGCCGGCACTGGTGCCAGCTCCCCAAAATCCCCACTGCTCCTGGGAAAGACTCCTCTGTATGTTGAGAGTGGCCACTGGAGTGCCCACCTGTGTTTGACCTCAAAGTGAGTGCAGGCCAAGCCCAAGGTGGAGGCAGAAAGGGAACGGGCCAGGGGACGTGGCCTTCAGTGTAAGAGGCTGCAGGTGGCACTGTGACGGCTTCAGGAATGGAAGGAAGCACGACAGAGCCGACCCGGGTGGTGCTCTCCTTCACCAGCCCGCCGCACTGAGAAGGTGCCATCGTCGCTCTTCAGTGTCTGATACTGATAAGGTTCAAGGTCTTCCAGCTGCTCCTCGTGTCTTAAACCACTAAGAGAGACAACAGGTGAAATTCCTGTGGCCTCTGCCTTTACCCTCCAGCCCAGAAACAACTCACAAATGGGATGGCAGGGAGGAGGGCACACTGAACAATTTCACACCCTCCTCTTGTGAAGGCTTTCCAACTACCCTCTTCGTGGGAGTGCGAGCGATTTTAACTTGAGAGAAAACCAGCTTGAGGTGAAGAAGGCGGCAGTTCCACTGTGGAGGGAAATGACTCTACTCCCACTGGGATTGAGTCCACCCGGCTCTGATCCCCACATCTGGCCAAGGACAGGATGCCTCCTAAATGTGTATACATGGCTGTTCCTGCCAAATTCCCACCCTGTTAGGACAGTGCGCACTCTCAGCAAAACAAAGCAGTGATCGCCAGTCTCATTTGTTTCAAAATGACATTTTAGGCTGGCTGGTTAGCTTGAGTGGTTAGAGCATGGTGTTATAACACCAGCATCAAGGGTTTAGGTGCCCAGATGGGCCAGCCACCAAAAAACAAACAAAATGTGACATTTAAAAAGCAAATTCATTTTTTAAAAAAAACTTTTAGGGGGCCGGCCTGTGGCTCACTCAGGAGAGTGCGGTGCTGATAACGCCAAGGCCACGGGTTCGGATCCCATATAGGGATGGCCGGTTTGCTCACTGGCTGAGCGTGGTGCTGACAACACCAAGTCAAGGGTTAAGATCCCCTTACCGGTCATCTTGTAAAAAAAAAAAAACTTTTAGGGGGCCGGCCTGTGGCTCACTCAGGAGAGTGCGGTGCTGATAACGCCAAGGCCACGGGTTCGGATCCCATATAGGGATGGCCGGTTTGCTCACTGGCTGAGCGTGGTGCTGACAACACCAAGTCAAGGGTTAAGATCCCCTTACCGGTCATCTTGTAAAAAAAAAAAAACTTTTAGGGGGCCGGCCTGTGGCTCACTCAGGAGAGTGCGGTGCTGATAACGCCAAGGCCACGGGTTCGGATCCCATATAGGGATGGCCGGTTTGCTCACTGGCTGAGCGTGGTGCTGACAACACCAAGTCAAGGGTTAAGATCCCCTTACCGGTCATCTTGTAAAAAAAAAAAAACTTTTAGGGGGCCGGCCTGTGGCTCACTCAGGAGAGTGCGGTGCTGATAACGCCAAGGCCACGGGTTCGGATCCCATATAGGGATGGCCGGTTTGCTCACTGGCTGAGCGTGGTGCTGACAACACCAAGTCAAGGGTTAAGATCCCCTTACCGGTCATCTTGTAAAAAAAAAAAAACTTTTAGAAAAGTATCTATAATCCCCAGTCCTAATAGTGAATCCCGTTTACTGAACACCCTCTGTTTTCTATATAGTACATCATTTACTCCTCTCAACAATGCTATGGGGCAGGAATTACTGCCAGCCCCAACTTCTACGTGGGGAAATTGAGGCTGCCCTGCCCAGGGTCACACAGACAATGAGTGATGGAGCCAGAGAAGTATCCAGGCTGGGTGTCCCTGGGGTCAGACTGTAACCTACAGCATACCCTGCAATGACAGCCCAGGTGTGACAGAGTTGGGCGCTGGTACAAAGGCCAGCCTTGTGTATGTGTTCCCCTGGGAAAATGCACGCATGTGATGACATGATGGTGCATTTTATTAAACAGAAGTCAAAGTGCAAGACTCAACTTGGGTGTATAAATCAACTTGAAAACCAGTGTGGCCTGTCATTTCCCCAGGAAAGCTGAGACCCCCACAATGACTATGTTTTTCAACACTGCTGCCAAGTTTTGCAGGAAGTTAGGCACATAACACCAAAAGACATTCTGGTCTGAGCTCCTGCTTGGAAAAACAGATGCTGATGCAAAAACACGGCCTAGGAAAGTGTGCACTTGATAATCACTGCATTTCTGCCTTCCCCTGAAAGCCCCCCAGGGCCTGCACAACCCTCACCTGGGCCCTGGGCCCAGCCCTCCCTGCAGGCCAACCCACATTCTGCGTGGCTCAGTCATGCGGCAAGCACTTGGCAGGACTGGGACTTGACTTGGTAGTGCTCTGAAGGCATCAGGAGACACCAGGGCATACCTAATAACCTCCCTGGAATGGACATCTCTCTGATCACCTGATCAGAGGTTCCTAAACCAGAGCTAAAGTAAGCATTACCGAGAGAAGGAGAAGACCTCGGAAGTGAGAAAGTGCTTTTATAATCATATGGAAAAAGACAGACATCCAATTAAAACAATAAGAGAAAGCCAATTCAGAAAGAAAAGATGCAAAAAACTTAGGGGGAAAATGTCCCACCTCACTAGTAATTTAAGTGCAGTCATGCACCATATAACGATGTTTTGGTTGATGACAGGCAACATATACAATGGTGGTCCCATAGATTATAATGGCTATACCTTATAGCCTAGGTGTGTGGTGGGCTCTGCCATCTAGGTTTGTGTAAGTGCACTCTGTGACATTCACACGACCATGCGATCGCCTAACGGCACATATCTCAGAACGTACCATTAGCAACACACGACTGTATCGCAAAATAAAATGAGTTGCCAGTTTTCGCTATCAGTATGGCAAAGTCAAAGACAGCTGCTGTTCAGGATTGGCAAAAGTGGAGACGCATGTTTTGGGCCCAGCCAGTGGGAACATTAACTGACCTCGCCTTTCTGGAGGGCAATTTGGGCTAAAACATGCACCTTTTATGCATGCGCATGCGCACGCAGTTGAGCAAGATTCCTATCAAACTCCAGTGGGATTTCTTGTAAGTATTGGTAGGATTATTACAAAACTTGTATAGAAAGGCAGAGGAACTAAAATAGCTAAAATAATTTTGAAACAGAAAGAATGAAGTGGGAGGAAATCAGTCTACCGGATATCACGACCTACTACATAGCTACTTAAGTTAGTTAAGACAGAGTAGCATTGGCAGAGGGACAGACACACAGAGCAATGGAACAGAACAGAACTCAGAGACCCACATAAACATGACCAAGTGGTTTTCTGACAAGAGTGCAAAAGCACATCAGGGGAAGGACAGCCTTTTCCACAAATGGTCTAAAGTAACTGCACATCCACAAGAAGAAAATGTGCCTTGAAGTAAGTCTCATAACTTATACAAAAGTTAACTCAATACAGATTGTGGACTTAAACATAAAACATAAAAATATAAAACTTTTAGGAAAAAACATAAGAAGAAATCTTCAGAATCTAGGACTAGGCAAAGAGTTGCTAGACTTGACATCAAAAGCCCAATTCATAAAAAGAAAGATTTACAAGAAAATTGAGCCTCATCAAAATTTAAAATGTTTGCTCCATGAAAGACGCAGATAAAGGGATGAAAAGACACGCTACAGACTGGAAGTATTTGCAAAGCACACATCTGACAAAGGATTAATATCTAAACTGTATAAGGAACTCTCAAAACTCAACTTCCAAAAAAAAAGCAAACAACTCGATTAGAACACAGGCAAAAGACTTGAAGGGACATTTTACCGAAGAGCACTTACGAATGACAAGCGCATGCAAAGATGGTCAACATCATGAGCCATTAGGGAAACACAGATTAAAACCATCTTGAGATGCTATCAGAGTGGCTGAAATAACAGAGTGACAACACCAAATGCTGGCGAGGATGCAGAGAAACTGGACCACTCATGCATGGCTTGTGCAAATGTGAAAAGGCATAGCCATTAGGGAAACACAGATTAAAACCATCTTGAGATGCTATCAGAGTGGCTGAAATAACAAGAGTGACAACACCAAATGCTGGCGAGGATGCAGAGAAACTGGACCACTCATGCATGGCTTGTGCAAATGTGAAAAGGCATGGATACTCTAGAAAACAGCTTGGCGGTTTCTTAAAAAACATCAAACAAGCAACTATCAAATGACCCAAGCATATGTCCTGGACATTCACCCCAGAGAAACGAAGACATGTTCATATAACATCCTGTGTAAAATACTTAATAGCAGTTTCATCTGTCAGCACCCCAAACTGGAAACATCCCAAATGTCCTTCAACAAGTGAACTGGTTCAACAAACTGGATGAACCTGCAGAGAATCACACTGAAAAAGGCTAGTCCCAAGAGGTTACATACTGTATGGTTCCATTATATAAAATTGTTAAAATGATAAAATTATAGAAGTAAAGAGATTGGTGGTTGCCGGGGTAGAGGAAGGGATGGTGCAGGAGGGAAGCAGGTGTGGCTATAAAAGGAGGGATCTGTCCAATATGTGACTGTATCAGTGTCAAGATCCTGTTTGTAACATTGTTCTATAGTTAAGCAAAATGTGTCCCCAGGAGGAAACTGGGTAAATGATACACTAGATCTCTCCACATTACTTTTTACAATTGTGTGTGAATCTATAATAATATCAAAAAAACAAGTTGGTGTGGGTGTGTGTGTGTGTGTGTGTGTGTTTAACAGATAGGAAACCAAAGAATCAAATGCAAGGTGACACTTTTGCACAATCAGGGAAATGTGAATATGGACTGGATATGGGACAATACTAAAGAGATTATTAGTTGTGTAAGGTGTGATAATGGCATTGTGGTTATGTAAAGAAAAATGGTCTTAACTGTTAGAGGTGCATGTTGAAATACAATTTCTATGATTTTTTAAAAATACTAGGAAACAGGGCCGGACCCGTGGCTCACTTGAGAGAGTGCAGCGCTGGTAGTACAGAGGCCATGGGTTCAGATCCTATGTAGGGATGGCCGGTGTGCTCACGGGCTGAGCGTGGTGCTGACCACACCATGCCGAGGGTTATGATCCCCTTACTGGTCAAAAAAAAGAAA